ACACACACACTACATTTATTATGTGTGTCCTAGTCCACTCAGTCTGCTATAACAAAATATTACTGACTGAGTGACTTAAAACATAAATTCATTTCTCACAGTTCTGGAGGCTGGGAAGTCCAGGCAGATTCAGTGCACAGTGAGGACTCACTTCAGAGAAAACCAGCTTCTCAGTAACCTTTGTAACCACACTAGGCAAATGGGGGTCTCTCCCTCTCCCCCTCCCTTCCCTCTCCCCCTCCCCTTCCCTCTCCCCCTTCCTTTCCCTCTCTCTCTTCCTTTCCCTCTCTCTCTCTTCCTTTCCCTCTCCCCCATCTCCCCTGTGCTCCTCCTTCTCCCAGTTTGGCTCTGGCTGGCTCCCTAGTTGCTGGCATCTATCACAGGGGCCCTACTCACATTCCTGAGAACACCACCTGCTAATCTAATCAACTCTCAAAAGCTGCATCTTCTAACACCTGCACCTGCCTGAGTAAGGTCTTTAACATAAGAATTGAAGCTGCATGTGTTCATCCTGTAGCAGCACCTAGGAGTCCTCAATCCTATGGGGCTGGTGGACCATGAACCGGGCTGGGAAGCTGCCCTGCACAGGTGGGATTCTGTTTTTCTTCCGGGAACCTGGCTTTGTGTTTCAGTGATTGAATCAAGCCCACTCAGATTATCCAGGATGATCTCATTTGCTGAAAACCAGCTGATTGTGTAATCAAATCATGTCTACAAAAGGCCTCCTCAGCAACACCTGTGAGTGTTTTATTGGGTAACTGGGAAATACTGACTAAGTTAACACATAAACAAGTTGACACATAAACACTGCCATTCCAATGGTGAAAGGAATGAGTTTCAGGAAGCTCTGGGAAAGCAAAAAAACACAAAGTGAGGTAAGGATATCCATATAATATAGTAATTAATACAGTAACAATTAGGAGCAAGAGTACTTAAAGATAACAGAGAACAAAGTGGTGTCTGTGTGTGTGAGTGTATATGCGCAGACTCAAGAGTCCTAACTGGAAAGATATTTTAAAAGATGTAAGATTATCTAGAAGAATCTACTGCCGCTTAATATAAGTCTGTGGCGCACACAGTAATGGAGGCAGGAGAAGCAAGCTCTTACCTATTCAGTATTCCTGGTGTGGCTCATTTTGGGGGCAGAAAATGACAGAGGGCTGAAGAAAGGGTCTGGGTTATATAGTCTTCATTTAGGGTGGCACAGGAGGGTAGTTCCTAGGATTCATTGGATCCATTAGAGTGGGACAGGAATATGAATAGGGAATTTCCTGGGACTTATCATATTGGGGTCAGCTGACCCATTAGGGTGGGGGGTCAGGTACCAGTCAGGTTCCTTTTGTGTTCCTTCACTCCGGCTGAGGCCTGGGATTTTAAATGACAAAATCTTCAATTTGACTCCGTACCAGGTGGAAGTGGAAGAGCTATAGAAAAGGAAAAGGTCCTTGGACTTATTCTCCATATCCTTCAATTTCTTTCCAAAGGTGTTAAACACTTAAGAAAGGGTTAAATATAAAGGTATTTAAGAAAGGGCTGGTCTTCCTAGGCTTTGCTATCTCCAGTATTGGGAAGGGGCTCAACTGCCCACTCATCCCTCTGGATTTAGGTCCTCTCCCAAAATGGATGTGAACATCACTTCAAGCGGTAAGTTTCCATTGACAAACTTTTTTTAGTTGTTGGTAGATCTTTATTTTGTTTATTTATATGAGGTGCTAAGAATCGAACCAAGTGCCTCACACATGCCAGGCCAAGTGTGCTACCGCTGAGCCACAGCCCCTATTTATTTTATTTTTGTTGATATTGTTTGCAGTACTGGGGGATGAACCCCGGACCTCACTCATGCTAAGCAAGTGGTCTACTACTGAACTGTATCTCCAGCCCTTTTTGTGTTGTTTTATCTTGAGACAGTGGTTCACTACATTGCTGAGGCTGGCCTCAAAATTTGCCATCCACCTGTCTCAGCCTCCCAGGTAGCTGGGATTATAAGCGTGCACCACCACACCGTACTTCCATCAGCTTTTTGCTCTCTTCTCTGACAATGACAGATGCCATGTTTATTTTTCAGAGATTGTAGAAATTTAGAGTATAAGCACAGTTAGAGGGACAAGATTGTTGGAGAAGGTGCTGCCTTTCAGCAACATATTGTGTCAGGGGATTGATGAGTGTTTTAAGGTTGAAATTTGAATTTCAAATGTAGGATGAGAGCCGTGAGATCTGTACGTGGGTCATCTGCTTAAAGTCTGAAAGTTGATACTGTAAGGGAAGGTTCAAAATGCATGAACCACCTAATATATACTATTTAATGATATTGCAAAGATAGGGATTTAGGATAAAGGGAGAGAAGCACTGAGTCCTAAAGGAAACGCCCACAGCTATTGAGATGCAGAAAGCACAGTTGGAAATCTGGGTTGACAAACCCTTGTAAAAGGAGGGGATGTGTAAGCGGAAGGCAAACCTGCAGGAAACCCTATAGCTCCACCCTGCCTCCACCCCTTGTCCAGCTCCCTAGCCTGGCACTTTAGATTAACAGGCCACTCCAGCAGGTTGCTGTCTCTCGGAGGTATCCTGCATTCTCTAAGTGTACGTCCCTAGCTGTACCCCAAAGAAGTCTCTCTTTTGAGATTGCCCCTGTTCACCCTTGACCGTGTCTCTGGGAATTCCTTGGACCTTTTCCCAGACATCTCTTCTCCCGCAACCTCTCTGAGGCATCCACTTTGGTAAGTCTTGGTAAATATTCTGTCTTGAATGTGATTTATTCTGTTCGCCTCCCCCCTGTACTTATAATCTCTCTCCTTCATTTTCAAAAACCAGAGAGTATAACCCCAATCTACAGATCCCCAGTCTGTAGATTCCCGTGGCAATAAGGTGAACTCTGAAACCCAAATGAGCTTTGAGATTTTTTTTCTCTTCTCTCATTTCACAGTGGGATTGCATAGATTTCTCAGCCTTAACTAGGGTGATATTTTTTTTTCCTTCTTCCTTTCCTGGGCTTAACGCTCTTTTCTCCCTTAGAATATGTGTGCATTATTATAAAAGCTCCAAAGATAGGAGTCACCCTTAGGCCAACATATCCTGTTCCAGGTCAGAGGGATTTAAACTGCTCATCTGGAAGATGCATATGAGGGGTTGGCTGAGCGTCCCCTCATTTTGCTGACAGTGGGTTCACCTGAGACCCATTGTTGGAGGGACCCGGTCTTGAAGTGACTCTCATTTAAACACCATGTTCAGACTCCTTACACTAGTGGCCAAACTCTCGACTCCAACTTCTGCCATAAATCTCTCAACCCTAAGTCTCTGCCAGAACTTAAGTTCTGAGGAAGACCCCTGGCCCTGTGGTTCCTAAACTCTGTACAGTGTCCTATTCCCTGCTCCAGCTAAAACCACTCTGTTTTATGCAGCTACCGGCAGCTGGGAAGTATTCCAGACCTTTGCTTAAACTAAATCACAAAGATTCTTAGGTTTGTTTTCACATTCTCTGTACTTATGTCTGGGTATTGAAGTTTTTCCAATCTTGACCTGTCCTTTACTAGATATCTCCCTGAAAGAAAATGTCCTCTCTGTCCTTTTATTTTAGTCTAGATAAACACCCAAAGAATGAAGGCTCCACCTACCTTCAAGGGCAGAAAAGGCAACAGTTGCTTTACATAGATACTTCTTGTTTTATCAGATCTCACTAGAAAGCATAAGATAGCCAGGAGGCCTCTGTCCTTGGTCATGATATAAAACACCAGCTATAAACAAATCTCTTTCTATTAAAACTTACCTGACTTTTTTTTTTTTTTTTAACTGTGAGTTGATCCTAGGGATGCTTTACCACTGAGCTACATCCTCAGCTTTTTATTTTTTACTTTGAGACAGAGCCTCACTAGGTTGCCAAGGCTGACCTCAAATTTGCAATCCTCCTTCCTCAGCCTTCTGAGTTGCTGGGATTACAGGTGTATGCCACCACACCCTGAATTTTTCTTATCCCAAAGTGCCTCAAAATTCTCTGCAATCTGGCTGGGTTTGTGGCTCAGTGGTAGCACGCTTGCCTAGCATGTGTGAGGCACTGGATTTGATACTCAGCAACGCATAAAAAAATAAACAAATAAAATAAAGGTATTGTGTTCATTTAAAAAAAAATCTCTGCAAGATTTTTATGCCCTTGCTATTTAAAATAATAATAACAACAAAAATTGAAAGTTCTTCAGTGCACCTGGACTACTTGAGAGCTTAAGGATGTTCTTTTTAGGATTTTCTTATTTATTTTCTTGAGGCCTAAGGGGGCTATCAAGCACCCTGAAAACTATACAATTGGGACAAGGACATTTATTACATTGCCACTAATTTGTAGATAATTTGGGACAGACCAGAAGGTCTGATCTTCAGGAGACCCATGGAGAATACCCCAATGGATTTAAAAAGTCCAATCCTGGTTGGGACTTAAAGGGTTCCCCCAGGCTGTGTCGGTTTTGTTTGAAGATTGTAGATAGGCCAGGTGTGGTAGCACACACCTGTAATCCCAGCTGCCCAGGAAGAGGTTGAGGAAGGAGGATCAAAAGTTCAAAGCCAGCCTCAGCCATTTATCAAGGTCCTAAGAGACTCAGTGAGACCCTGTCTCTAAATTAAATATTTAAAAAGTGCTGGGGTATGACTCAGTGGCAAAACGCCCCCAGGTTCGATCCCTGGTACCAATTTACAATATTGTGGGTAATTTAGTGTATATTCCTGAGATCTCACCGCTTGAGTGCATACTAAATAATTAGAATTATTTTAAAGCAGAGGACTTCTTTTGAAAAAAAAAAAAAGGTGGGGGAAGGGAATTTATTTTTTTTTCTATACCATGGTTTTGTCCTAGTAAAAATTAGAGAATGCAGACTTGTTCTGTAAATGGGGAAAAAAATGGAGCAATCTGTCTGTCTAGGTTTTCCATCTCTGCTCTTTAAAAAAAAAAAAAAAAAAAAGCTTAATTATTTAGGGTTGTTATCTTTGGCAATAATTCTAGGACTAACTTTTTTTTTATCCTTTTTACTTTTCTCTCCCTTCTCACCTCATCTGGTACACTGAAAAAAAGGATACCTGGTGGCAAGAGAGGATGGTCTACAACCAGAGCCAAAGGAAAGCCCTGCAGGCGTGTTTTGAACAAAACCCTCACCCTAATAAAGCTACCAGGGAACAACTGGCCAAGGAAATTGATATTCCAGAATCTAAAATTCGGGTAGGCATTAGGTTTCTATTGTCAGAGACAAAGTAAAAAGAGAAAAGCAAGTCTCAGCCCTTAAAGGTAATTCACTTGTGTCAGGTACTTGGCTAAAAAGGTTTCTCCTGTTATACAGTATCAGTTTATATCTTTCACCAATAATAGAAGTATCATTGGTGTGTGTTCAGGGATAGAGGAGGAAGAATATACATGCTCAGGTTCTCCTCAGTAAATCATATTTTGATACAATTGAATCATTTTGAAATTTAAAGAGTATAGGAAATTGGAGTATTAGAATACCTATTACAGGAAAATTACTAATGAATAATCACAAAGGAACTGTGCCAATCCCCAATTCTCAAGCTAGCTTTTTCTTTTTAATTTAATGTCTCAGATGTCATTCATACATCGTGTCTAAAGTCTCATATTGAATCACTTTTAATATAATTACTGATGTAAAAATGAAACTAAGGGATTGGAGTTGTGGCTCAGCAGTAGAGCGCTCGCCTAATAACGTGCGAGGCCCTTGGGTTTGATCCTCAGCACCATCTAAAAATGAATAAATAAAATAAAGGTATTGTGTCCAACTACAACTAAAAAATATTTTTTAAAAAATGAAACTAAGTTATAGTCATTCAGTTATCAAAAAAGATACCTAAAAAGAATGTCACTATACCAGGTAGAAACAGTATTTAAAATCAATATGAAGGTCAGGTAAAAATGTTTTTAGAGGAAAATAATGAGTTCTGAGTTTTGTTTTTAATCAAATGCATAATCTAAAAGAAGCCACTGGCTATAGGGCCTTGGTCTAAGAGGATCCAGGGAAGCAGATATTTTACCTATTTCTTCAAGTATTGGAACTGGGTGTGGGAGACAGTTTATTCAAAGCTGAGTAACAAAAGTATATCCTATGGTAATATCTGGTAGTTGGTTTTGAGAGGTGCTGGGCCTATTTAAACTGATAGCAAGCATAGCAAATCCAGGAAACAGTATGGGATGAGGTTGGTCTGTCATGGTGTTTGCTAATCTATTCATTAGTTTCCAGTTTCCACCTGTGCTTCAGATTTCTTTTCTGAAAATATTTTAATGAATTAGTTAAGAGATATAACCTTTGGCACAATGCGTAGGATGTGAGTTGTTCATCAAGTACTGGTTGTCGTTAATATCCTAAGTCTTCTCAATAAAAATTATAAAAATTAAACACTCAAAAGTAATTAGAAAGTATGCTTCAATTCTGACTCCAGTCATGAGGAAACATGGAAAGAATTCAACTGGTTGTGTTAGTGACAATAGTGACAAGGCAAGGTGTCCAAGTCCCTAGAATTTTTGTCTAGCGTTGACTCTTAGATGAAATAAGAATAAATATGGATGAATGTTAGCCCAGCTCTGTAGTGTGGCTAATACTGCTACCCCATCTAAAAAAAATTCCTTTCTATGATCCATGATGTAAGTATTGTATAAAATGACATTTCTTATGATGCAATCGTGTGGCCAAGAAAAAAAGGCATTCAGACATTGAATTCTGCTTGGAAAGAAAGAGGCAAAGAGCTGGAGAAATTCTTTGAGAGAACCAACAGGGTCTCTTAAATCAGGGAAATTTATTTTGGATAACATGAGGCTGACCACACGCATTGTATGCCATGCAGTCTCTCTCTCTGTGGTTCCTCAATTGTTTTCTAGGAGTAGCATCTTCTCTAGGATAAAGCATTGTCTTTCTCTTTAGGGTATAATTCCAAAGGCAAACAGTCAAATTAGTTTGGTTTAATTGAATTGAGACTTAGAATGCCACAGACTGAGATACATGGCTTTTGTTATGGAAATCACTTTCAGCAAGAGATCAAGCACCACTCTGAGGGTTGGAGAACTCAGGTTTATTTACCTCGAATTCCCAGATGAGCTACTGCTCTGAAGTTCTGGGCCCCAAGTTGAGGTTACGTGGAGATTTTATAGGAAATTTGACATCATTTCTTAACTATGACAACATTGGGTTCTTTTTTTGTTTTTTTTGGGTTTTTTTGGTGCTGGGGATTGAACCCAGGGCCTTGTGCATGTGAGGCAAGCACATTGGTGAGTTTGAAATCTTGGCCTACGTGACCAAAGACCATGTATAGGGAATTCACGATGAATAGTTCACAGGCGTAGAACAAAGACAGTAAAACACCTGCGAGTGTTATCCCACAGTGGCCTTCCCACAGCAGAGTAACTCAAGATACTGGAGTTTACCTCCCTAAGAGCTCTAATTCTAAGGACTAAGCCTACAAGGTTATAGTTTAGACTGCAGTTAATTGGCCTAGCAATTAAATGAGGTAGCTACATTTCTAAGAGTTCAGAAAGTTACAAAGTGTAAGAGAATTAACTCTTTCCCCAGGCATTGGTTCTTCATATAATGTTCTGATCAGGTCTGGTATCTCCATCACACCCTCTTTTTCCACTTAGACTTGGTTTAGAAACCGAAGAAGCAGACAGAGAAAATTGGAGTCTGCATGCTCCTTAGGAAAAGACCCAATCCAGGGACGTGACCAGTCTCAGTTACAGATGCAAGGTAAGAACCCACTGGTCCATATTCCTCACTGGGCACACAGTGGCACACACCTATAATCCCAGTGATTCAGGAGGCTGAGGCAGGAGGATCACAGTTTGAAAGCCAACCTCAGCAACTTAGTGAAGCTTTAAGCAGTTTATTGAGTGTCGGGGTTTTTAGCCCCTCATTCCCTCCTGACCTATGGGAGAGATCGAGGGAGCATGCCCCGACCAGGACAGGCCAAGAAAGGTCCACTGGCCATCCACACCCAGCCCTCCCTCCCTGGAAGACAATCAGATGTGCCAGGGAGAACTGTCAAAGCAGGATCTCCTTTAATGAGAAAAGGTATACAGCTAATATAATGTACAGGAGCCAATCAGGATAAAGGTCAGCAGGGTGGGGAGAATTTACATCTACACCTATCCCACAGGCAATAATGTCCGTGAGGGCAGAAGGGTTCTGAGCCTATCCTAGAGGTGGGTGATTCTTCATCACAACCCAGGGCAGTGCCTTCTGGCTAATCGCTAGGTGCTCTCTTAGCCACTTGTGGCCCCAGGCCTGGAAAGCGAGTAGCAGCCAACAAGTTAAGTTTCCTCTTTTCTGATGCAGCATGCTCCATGATACATCAATTGAGACCTGTCTCAAAAAAACAAAAAGGGCTGGAGATGTGGCTCAGTCTTAGAACACCCCTGGGTTCAATCCTGGTACCAAAAAAAAAAAAAAAACACAAACTAGTATAGTTCCTCAATCCCACTGAGTAGAAATGACTGCATGTTGTGCCCAAATTCTACATAAAGATTGCTTAGCCTAGGAACTAGTTACAGTTTGTTATGGACACTCAAGGGTCAAATATATAACCTTGTCCCATAGCTGTCCAGGACAAGGAGTTTCTCAGCAAACAAAGTTTTGGATCTTTTGGGTTGACTGCTGCTCAGCAGCACAGTGACCTCTTCTTTTGCCACCCTGGAGGTGGCAAAATTCAGAGAGTAAATTTCAGCAGCATTATCTTCTGGCTTGAATGTGAGAGCTGACCTGAAACACACCCTTCCTTCCTGTGTTCTTTAGAATGGTTAACAAAAGAAGCCAAGCAAGACCACATACCCCTCGCAAGAACTCCAAGAAGGATCCAGGTTCAAGCCTTTGAGAGGAACCAAGTCCCTGATGTTGCCACCAGGGAAAAACTGGCTAAACCAACAGACATTCAGGAATTGCGCATTCAGGTGAGTTGTTTGTGGCCCCATTATGTTCTCCCTGAAAGTGATATCGCCCCTGCAGGTGTGACTGGAACTTTGGGCTATCTTGGGTTGTCACAGTCATGGGGACAAAGGTATGGAATGGTAAGCACTCAGCACTGTAAGTCACATTCCTCCAAAGGAAGAATTTGCAAACCCATTTAAGAGGTACCCCTTTCAATTAGAAGCAGGAAAAATGGAAAATGTGAAAATTAATACCTGTTTTAAGAAGACTCTGTTAGATTTCCTATAAAAACTCAGCAGCCTGGTCATTTTAGACTAGATTATTCTTCCTTCTAAGGTGTTGTTCTGTTCATGGTAGGTCATTTCTCTGCATTCCTGTGTTTACCAAGTAGATACCAGTGCAGTCTATCTATAACCATTTCCCTATCCCCATTTGTGACAGCCAGAAAAATTTGCAGACATAGTCAAATGTCCTTCCATTGAGAGGCAAAACTATCTACTTATTCTACCTAAGTGATATGGGTGCTTATTTATTGTATGTATGTTAAATTCTCATGACTCAGGAAGTACATTTATAAGCTTGTGGCCCAGAAACTCTCAAAAACACTTGTGTTTACTAGCCTTGATCAGATGTATTCTGTGATCAAGGGCTGGGGGATATAGCTCAGTTAGGAGAGTGCTTGCCTTGCATGCACAAGGCCCTGGGTTCAATCCCCAGCGCCACACACACACACATACACACACAAAAGTTAGATGTATCCTGTGATCAGGCCTATGTTAATAGTCTCTTTCTTTACAGAGTATAAGAAGCAGAGCTAGAATTACTTGTGTTTTATGATGTTCACATCCCCCTTTTCCTCACTTAAATATGGTTTCAGGACCAAAGATATCTGGACCCTGACTGGAGCAGAAAGGAGGCCCAAAATTTCTTGGTAGATGACACAAATGGGAGACCAGATCTGACTAATCAACTGCAGGAAACAGATCTGTTTATACACCCAGATGGGAGTTATTATCTGCCTTCACCTGATTCCTTCCCTGACAACCAAACAATTTCACCTACTCCTCTTCTGTCCTCTGGGATCATGCAGCCCACCCAGGCTGTGCCGAGAGGAGAGAACTCTGACCTGCCTCTCACTTTTATGGATCACCTGCCAGAACTGCTGACTCCAAGAGGGGACATCTCGCATACTCGGGTTCCTTTCTGGATCCAATTCCAAGAAGAATACCAAAATCACAAAGAACAAACTGGCATAGGAGTCATACCATTGAAGGACCATTCTGAACCTAATCCTGAGAACAAGAAACCACAGGGTCTGGGTCCCATTGACATATCTTATGTCATGCAGTGGTGGGACCAGGGCCGCCAAGCTCTGATTGAGGAATGGGAACCACTTGAAGAGATACAGTGAGACAGATGTGGCCAACTGCAAGGTCAGCTGGAGAGTCCTCTCATCTGCTCTACCAACTGCACCAGCAATACATAGAAACCTCGAGTCTTTAGATAAACTCCTGTCATCTATAGAATCTCAGTAAACTATTTTCTTTTCCTTTTTTTTTTTTTTTTTTTTTTTATACCAGGGATTGAACCCAGGGACTCTTGACCACTAAGCCACATTCCCAGCTTTTTAAAAAATATATTTATTTAGAGACTGGGTCTTACTAAGTTGCTTAGGGTTTTGGCTTTGAACTTGCGATCCTCCTGCCTCAGCCTCCCAAATCACTGGGATGACAGGCATGCACCACTAATTCTGATCTACAGAGAGGGGACCCTTTCAGACCCCACCAACCTCTCATTGGAGAAGATTGTCAGGTTCTGCTTCATATGCTGCAAGGCTAACCATGGCCGTAGCTCCAGGAGGAAGATGTCAATCTTGTGTAACTGGTCCAGGCAGGCCTCCTTCGTTTTGATTCAGAATTGATACAATTTATTACTTATTTGGTAGTGGGAAGGAGGGTTACCACTGAGCCTTGTCCCTAGCCCCTTTTTTATTTGTTATTTTGAGACAGGTCTCACTGAGTTGCCAAGGTTGGCCTTGAACTTGTTTCCTCCTCCCTCAGTCTCCCGAGTCTCTGGAATTACAGGTGTGCACCCTGCATCTGAACAGGATCAGTACAATTAATAGACAATGAATAGTGAGGACATCCTATCTTGAAGCAAGACGAGTGCCAGGGGTAAGATAATATGACTGGGAACCCAAATGGATGTCTGTATGGGCAGTGGTATCTTCTTAACTCATGGTGCCCAAAGCTCTAGATCTGTATTGCCTTGGAAACACCAAGGGCAGCAGGCAGCAGACACATCTGCTGAATCCTTCTGAAAAAAGCATCTTCCTGTTTGAGAAATCCACAAGTTCTAATGGAGGCGAAGCAAAGATAACAGGCCAAGAAGAGATGCTGTCAGCATTCATTTATTCCCTTCTGGCATGGCACTGAGATAAATTTGAAATAAGTATTATAGAAAGTGAGGGAATACTATATTTCTTCATGCTGTATGTTTATAAAAGTGAGTGGTTTTTTTGTTTGTTTTGTTTTGTTGTTGTTGGGCCTAGTGGTGGTGTCCCTGTAATCCCATCTACTCAGGAAGCTGAGGTGAGAGGATTGCAAGTTCCTGGCTCCTTCAAGCCAGCCTGGGCAACCTAGCAGGACCCCATCTTAAAATTAAGGGGAAAAGCCAGGCACAGTAATTCATGCCTGTAATCCCAGTGGGTTGGGAGGCTGAGGCAGGAGGATCGTGAGTTCAAAGCCAGCCTCAGCAACTTATTGAGACCCTGTCTCAAAAAATAAAATAAAAAGGGCTGGGGATATGGCTCAGTGGTTAAGTGCTCCTGGGTTCAATCCATGGTAACAACAAAAGAAAACAAAGGGGGCTGTGGGTGGAGCACAAGCATGTGCAAGGCCCTGTGTTGGACTCAGCACTGCCAAAAAAAAAAAAAAGTGAGCAAGAGCTTTTTCTTTCCTCCCTAAGTTCTGAGGGTTTGAACTGGGAACTGGACACCTTAGCATCCATCAATAAGGCAAGGGGTTAAATGAATGAAGACGTATCCATAATGCTGAGTATTTTTCATGTAAATGTATTTTTTTCCATTGAACATTTAAAACACACAAAAATTAACCAGGAATGGTGTTGCCCACCTATACTCCCAGCAACTCAAGAGCCTGAGGCCAACCCAGGACAACTTAACTAGACCTGCCTCAGAATAAAAATAAAGTCTGAGGATGTCGCTCAGTCGTAGAGTGTCCCTAGGTTCAATCCCTAGTACCACAAAAACAAATCAATTACAAGGAAATTATAATAACATCATAAAATCACTGAATAAAAATCTATTAACTTTTTCTATGTTAATAGGTTTTCAAATATATACTTACGTATGTATGTGTGTACATAATCCTGTAATTCCTCACTTCATTACAAGTAAATCATATAAACTTAAAACTTTTGGGGTAACCATCCTTATTTTGTGCTTTGGTTTGGATGTGAGGTATCCCCAAAAGCTCCCATTAATACAGGAATATTCAGAGGTAAAATGATTGAATTATGACAGCTGTACCTAATCTGTCTATCCTAATTTAAATGCAACGACTGGAAACTGTTGGCGGGCAAGGTGTAGCTGGGGGAGATGGGTCTCTAGGGTGTTCCCTGGGAGGGTGCATCTTCCCTGAGGCCCCTTTGCCTCCATCTCTCTCCCTGACTCCACCTTGATTTTCCTCCTCTGTTTTTTTTTCCCCCCTTTTGATACAGGGAATTGAATTCAGGGGCACTTAACCACTGAGCCACATCTGGTCCTTTTTTATTTTATTATTTAGAGACAGGGCCTCGCTAAATTGCTGAGGCTGGTTTTGAGTTTTTGATTCTCCTGCTGCAGCTTCCCAAGCTGCTGGGATTACAGGCATGTGCCCCCAGTGCCCGGCTGGGACCTTCTTACATGATGTGTTACCTCACTTGGACCCAGAGCAATGGAGTCGGCTGTTAGGACTAAGCCTCTGAAACCATGAGCCCCAAATAAACTTTCCCTCCTCTAAGTTGTTCTTGTCTGGCATTTTGGGCACAGTAATGCAAAAGCTAACTAAAACGTTTTGTCTTCTTTCTTTCAAAATTATAACTTGTAAAATCATTACTGTGTATGAAGGTGTATGTAGGATTACATTGATATAATAATAAAAATATCTTTGGAAAATATTACCCTTCTGTTCACCTTGCCAATTTGCATTCTATTTCTTTATACAGTTTGTACAGGTCTATGTGAATGTGGTGGATCCTGCACTGCTACACCCAGATCTAAAGCTCTAATAATAAAAATATCTTTGGAAAATATTACCCTTCTGTTCACCTTGCCAATTTGCATTCTATTTCTTTATACAGTTTGTACAGGTCTATGTGAATGTGGTGGATCCTGCACTGCTACACCCAGATCTAAAGCTCTGAGGTTTTTGTTTTGTTTTTGTTTGTTTTGTTTAAATATATTTATGTTTTAGTTGTAGTTGGACACAATATCTTTATTTTTATGTGGTACTGAGGATTGAATCCAGGGCCTCACACGTGCTAGGTGAGTGCTCTACCGCTGAGCCACAATTACAGCCCCTTGTTTTGTTTTTAATATATATATTTTCAATTGTCAAAGGATCTTTTATTTATTTATTTATCTGCTTATTTATTTATATGCAGTGTGGAGGATTGAACCCAGGGCCTCACACATGCCAGGCAAGTGCTGTACCGCTGAGCCATAACTCCAGCCCCTAGCTCTTGAGTATTGTTTTATGTATAAGTCTATGTAAATTTGTTTTTGCATCTATATTACACCCAACTCCTCCCTCCCTACTGCTCTCTATCACTATTTCTAAATCTACAAGTCTTTTTATATCTACTTATCTAGATCTGCTGTCCATACTCTTTAGAGGAAAAAGGTAGGATAGAATTGTTTTTATCTTTTTCTTCCCCCACTGTTGCTGAAAGTCCTTGTCCCTGATACCAATCCAATAATGAGGATATGGTTTGGAAAAAAAGGAAAAAGAATGTTTATTGCTTTGCTAGTACAGGAGAAACACAGGGGACTCCTGTCCCAAAGGCTGTGATTCTGCCCCTCAGCGGGAACAGGGGGCTTTTTAAAAAGAGGTGGCTCAAGGGCTACTTCCCATGTTCTCCTTGGAGTTATAATTCACTTGTCAATTTGGGAGATATTTCTGAGATCTTCTGGTACCATCCCCAAATTCTGGATTACTTTGTTCCTATGGTGGGTGTATACTCAAGTACAGATAATTCTGCATAGGATGGAAGAAAGGTAATGCTGGTTCCCCTAATATTAGGGAGGACCAGGTAGAGTGGAATGTTGAGAGCCACAGCGGAGTCGGAATGGCCCCTGGCATTTTGCCAGAAGTAATGGTTGAGAGGTGACAACAGGGAGCCATTAAGATGATGATAATTAAGTTAAGCTGTGTATAATTGCTGTGACTGGATGATGCTGGATTGAAACAGGCTGTGTATTCAGTTGTATTATTAGACCCCTGCTGTCTGGCAATAGGGCAGCTCCTGCTGCCTCCGGTGCCCCCGCTATTTTGAGTTCTTTCGGAGTTCCGAGGAAGTTCCGGTGGAGGGAGTTCTGGTTGGTGTGTGGTGTTCTTGGAAGGGCCGCGTGGGTGGCGTTTGCGGGAGTTGGGAAATAAAGTTTGTTCCTCCTTGAGTGGCTCGTGATTTGTGCCCAGCCAGGCTGCGGCAGTGGAAGAGAAAGAAAAATAAGTGGCAGTAGCAGAGCAGCAAGGGTTATATTCAACGGAAAGGGATCACTATTACACTCTACTGGGAATTGAACCCAGGAGTACTCTACCACTGAGCTATAACCTCAGCCTTTTTTTTTTTTTTTTTGACAGAGAGTCTCACCAAGCAGTCCAGGTTGTCCTTGAACTTTTTATCCTCCTGCCACAGCCTTCCTAGGTGCTGGGATTATAGTTGACATAATCAGTGTTATCTAAATATACACTTGTCATTTGTAGAACCAAGTTCCTTTTAGGCTTTTTAAAAGACATTCGGCCTTTATACAAACAATCTATACATAATCTGTTTTGCTTATTTTAAACCATGCCCATTGCCATGTACCATGGTTCATGCCAGTAACCCCAGCAGCTGAGGCAGGAGGATTGCAAGTTCAAAGACAATCTCAGCAATTTAGCAAGGCTAAGCAACTCAGCAAGACCCTGAATAAAAATATCTTTAAAAGGGTGGAGGGTGTGGCTCAGTGATTAAGCACCCTTGGGCTAGATCCTTGGTACCAAAATACCCTTAAGCCATGTGCCTTGTCTGGCTGCCCAGCTTGCTAAAATTAAGAAATTACTAAAATGGCCAGGTTGTAATAGTGCACACTTGTAATCCCAGCGGCTCAGGAAACTGAGACAGGAGAATGGCAAATTCAAAGTCAGCTTCAATTTAGCAAGACCCCAAGCAATTTAGTGAGACCCTGACTAAAAATAAAAAGGACTGGAGATAGGGCTCAGTGGTTAAGCACTCCTGAGTTCAATCCCTGGTAGCAACAAAAAAGAAATGACTAAAATGAAGTGAATTAAGGCAGACCCATAGATTCTACACAGTATTTCTGTGTTAGTGAGGATGCACAGAGGGGTGCTTTACCACTGAGATATACTCCCATCCCTTTTTAATTTTGAGATAAGGTCTCCCTTGCTGAGATTAGCCTTGAATTTGAGAGCCTCCTGCCTCAATCTCTCAAGTAACTGGGATTACAGGTGCACTTCACCATGATGCCAGGCTATCTTAATGCCTTCTGCCACTGGCATCCATGGGCTAAAATGTTCAGTTAGCATGGGGAGAAGCTAAGGCAGCAGAAAAGAGAGCATTGAAGAGGGGCTTTATCAGGTCCCATGGAATCAGAGCCTGAACTGCAGACTCCTGTGAAGAGGGGAGTGAGGTGTTATGGGCCAGGCTACATGGGCAATGACCAAACAGACTCCACGTTGCCCTGAGACGCCCTGTCATGTTAAGAAATGCTTCTCCCATGGGAGCACCCCGCCTCTACCATCAACAATTGCTTAGCATAGCATGTTTGGCAACACAAAATGGCAGTTGTTATACAATGTAAAGTTGTTCTCTTTTTGGATCCCATTTTTCTTGGACGAGGTGTGGCATCTTCCAGTCTTACATTAGTAACCTTTCTTTAACTTGTACTCAATTAGGGTCATTTTGACCCACTTCCTCTTCTGCTTACGATTTTAGATCTCATGACATTTGTTTATGGTTTTGAATCATAGCAATAGCCACTTATGATTAATGTGGTTTTGGATTATAAAAGGTGTGTTCAAACCCCAACCCCAGGAGGGGGTCGAAGGGTGGAGACTTGCAGCCTGCCCCTTGACCTGCCAGCTGGTGACTCCATGATTTATTGTAATCGAGCCATAACAGAGGGATGGAGATAAGAAAAAGCAGGAAGGGAGGGAAGTTACTCAGGGATATGATTTAACTGAAGACTAGCTTCATCTAAGTTGTAGAATGTATTGCCATAGGCAATTTGTAATATTCTCTTATTATCCTTTAAATATTTGTACAATCTGAGCTGGGCATGGTGTAGCTAGCTCAGTGGTGCATGCAGTGCTTGCCTAGCATGTGTGAGGAGCTAGGTTTGATCTCCACCGTCAAAAAAACAAACAAAAAATCCAGTTTTGGGGCTGGGATTATGACTCAGTGGTAGAGAGCTCGCCTAGCATGGACGATACCCAGGTTCGATCCTCAGCACCACATAAAAATAAAGGCATTGTGTTGTGTCCATTTACACCTAAAAAATAAATAAATAATTTTTTAAAAATCCAGTTTTGGTGACATTGATTTTTTTTTCCTAATACTGTTTTTCTACTTTCTCCTCTGGCACCCTGTCCCACAGGTTTCAAATGCATTTTTTACTCACTATTTTTGACAACTATAAATAAGTGTTTTCCACAATGGAAATGAAAGTCCGTGCAGTATATTTTCATGACTGGGGAATGGATTTTCTCAAGTCATCTTCAATAGGCTAAAAACTTAAGAAAAAAATAAAACTGAATGTTGGAATTCAGTTCTTTATATGAAGTCCCTTACGAAAACAACAGGATGGCTATAAACCCAAAAGGAGGGGCAGGGTGAGATTTAAAAAGAAGAAAAAGTAAAAAGAATTAAGATGACTCACTGCTTCTGATTTCTCCCGGGTCTTCACTCTCTGGCTTTCCTCCTTCCCAGGAAGCTTGCAGCTTTTCAGCCACTTGTTCAGCATTATCACTTTTGCTGAAAAATGCTGGGGAAAAATCGATCTCTTCAGACTGCATTCTTCAGACTGTTTTGAATGTTGTGCCTGACCAGCGTTTAGGAAGCCGATTGACAGCAGTCCCTGCTTGGGGTCCTCGTCACCAAAGTGAGCACAGGGGTTCCAAACCCAGGCATGGTGGTTGCCGGGTTTGCCTTCAGCCCAGCCTCGGTGGGATACAGTGGCTGGGGTGTATCTTCAGGGGCTTGTCCCTCCTCAGGAGAAGGCAGATGGTCCTTTTCTCATGTTCAACTTCGAGGGCGCCTGGTTCCTTCCTCCTGGAAGATCATTCTCTGAAGCAAATCCAAGTAGCTTTGCTTGCATCTTTAAAAAGTTCCTCTTCATCTTCCTCCAACGTTTTAATTCCTTGCTCAGGGAGTGAAAGTACGGGCGGGCTCAAACCAGAGGTCACGGGTGGACTCATCTGCCTTCCCCGCAGAGGTATCATGGTCCTCACACAGTGTCTACCAGACTCAAACAGGAAAAGAAAAAATAAGCTCTTTGCTGTTCTTTGGTTTCACAATACTATGGCCTCCTGGGGACACACACCAGCAGCCAATAGGCCACCCCGACCCTGGGTTGTCATGTCCATGACCTGTCCCCCTAGCTAGAACATGAGCTTCCACCAAGGAGGCCCTCTTTTTCAACTATTTTCTATTTCATTGCTTTCTTTTCTGATGCACGCCCCCCCCCACCTCTCTCTCTGGCAATGCTGGGGATCAAAACTAGGCTCACACATGCTAGACAAGCACTCTACCACTGAACTACAATCCCAGCCCCTTTCTCTGGTTTGTTTGCTTGATTCTTTGTTGTTGTTGTTGTTGTTGTGTGGAAAAATTAAAGTCAAACAGATAAAGACAGACTGAGGAATCCCAAAATATTAGGCCCAGAGGTCATGGGAGCCCAAGCTTCAGTCCCATCTAACTCTAAATAAATCAACTTCTGACCCTATGCAACTGTGTGTCCTTTTCTCCAGCATCCACTAAAACCCTACTAGGCCAAAACTTGCTACGTTCTGCAGTTTATATGCTGAAAACTGGTTTTCATTAGAGCAGAATATTCAGGTCCATAGAGGGCCACCAAGGTCATTTCACCTTAACTTCCTTCCTTTCCCAAGAATGTCTTTAGCCTTGTTCTTTCCTCTCACCTCTCAAAGCACTCAACCCAGAAATGTGACACAGGACTACAACTCCAGCTTGTCTGGAGACTGAGGCAGGAGTAAGTTTGCAGCCAACGTGGCCAACTTAGGGAGACCCTGACTCAAAAAAACAAAAAAAAATCACATTAAAAAAAGAAACCTAGTAGTGTTGGAGTGCTACTCTTGTCTTTAAGTTACTGTCAAGGTAGGTGAGTAAATTACTTGTAGCAGATTACCTGTAGAAAACACCACTACTGGGGCTGAAGTTGTGGCTCGTAGCTCTCCAAGCATGCGAGAGGCACTGGATTCGATCCTCAGCACCACATGAAAATAGAATGAAGATATTGTGTCCACCTATAACTAAAAAATAAATATTTTTTTACAAAACCCAATATGCACACCTTAAGAGTGTTATGCTCAAATTCGGGACCCCAAAAAGACCACCAGAGACCAATATCGATGTAAGAAGCAAAGAAGTGTTTATTGCAAGCTAGCTCGGTCCTCCCCACAGCAACTGGTGATGCTGAGAGGCCCCGAGCACAGGATTTGCAGCAGTTTTATACACTCTTTGGGGAAGGCAGGGACTTCACATACATCATAGCATCTCTTAGCAAATCATCACACCATGGGAAAATCAAATAACAACTCTAAAACATGATTAGCACATTCACTGGCGGGAACAAGTTGGGTAGGGGTGATTGGTTACTACAAGAGGGGGATTCATTTGAACTGATTGGTTTAAGCCAAAAGGGGTGTTCATGCTGAACTACATCGTTTCCCAACACCATAAACCTCTGGCATCCCAGGTATTTCCCTGTCTCTTGCTGATTGGTGGCTGCTAGGGGATTGTTATGGGTCCCCACCTAGCCTGACTGAGTCAGGGACACCTTGCTCAGCAGATCTCTCCTGTTATTTGTAGATAAACAACTTAGCAGGGTGGGACTGTACCGAGGAGTGCTCTGTGGGTCTTTCCAAGGACAAAGGTCATGTCCCTTCCTTGGACAGGCTTTGCTCTGGTTTTTCAAGAGTAAGCAAATAGAAACAAAAGGAGCTAATTTGGGAAAATTCATCAAGAAAGAAGGGCTAATGGGACTAACTCTGGACAGAGTCCACTGAAGTCAGAGTAAAGCTAAGAGTTATGGCTACATGTCTTCAAAAGAAAATTTCTTTACTAAGGCAGGAACACTGAGGGAACTTGTGACAGATGGAGTACCCCTATTGACATAGGATTGAATGTAGATGAAGTCCCCCTGAATAGGATGGCCACCAAGACAATCCTGGAGAGGATGAGTTAGAGTCAAAAACTCCACAGGCAGCATGAAGGAGAAGTTGAACATCTGGCAGAGTGCAGAAGATGCAGAAGATGGCCTCGTGTGGTGGTGCACGCCTGTAATCCCAGCAGTTTGGGAGGCTGAGACAGGAGGATTGTGAGTTCAAAGCCAGCCTCAGCAAAAGCGAGGTGCTAAGCAACTGAGACCCTGTCTCTAAATAAAATACAAAACAGGGCTGGTGATGTGGCTCAGTGGTCAAGTACCCCTGAGTACTCCCCAAAAAAGTGCAGAAGATGAACCCCAGGTCGCAAGGCAAACATCCAACAGTAGCAAATTTAGAAGCAGTATTGTTTCCTTTGTCCTCTGCTCTGAGAAGACCCACTCTCTGGAGAGCGCTCTTTGCTTGAACCTTACTTTACTTTGACTTGCAATGAAGTTCTCTTGCATGATTTTGGTGTCTGACTTTACCAGTACCACACACACACACATACACACAAAAATCTTAAATTAAAAAATATCCAATACCTTTCTTACAAGGATGCTTGCAGCTCCTTCTCATCAATCCAAATTTTTATTTTTTTTTCTATATTAGGGATTGAACCCAGGGGTGCTTAACCACTGAGCTACACCCCCAGCCCTTTTTATGTTCTATTTTGAGACAGGGTCTCTCTAAGTTGCTTAGGGCCTCACTGAGTTGCTGAGGCTGGCATTGAACTTGTGATCCTCCTACCTCAGCCTCCAGAGTCGCTGGGATTATGGGTGTGTGCCACCATACCCAGCCTCAGTTTCTTTTAAGGGCTGACATGTAGAAATTGTGGTAATTTGAGACTTTTCTTCTTTTTTGATGTTAGCATGTGTAAAATTTGTGTTGAGTTTTAATTTTTTTTTTTTTTTGGTACTAAGGATTGAGCTCCTGCAGTCTGAAAACTGACCCCATGCCTCTTGCCACACATCATATGTGTGTGTGTATATAACCATATGTATGTATACATATACAGTAAAAATTATTTAAAAAATAAAAAAACTAGGGGCTGCGGTTATGGCTCAAGTGGTAGAGCGCTCACCTAGCACATGTGAGGCACTGGGTTCAATCCTCAGGACCACATTAAAAAATAATAATAATAAAATGAAGATGTTGTATCCACCTAAAACTAAAAAATAAATATAAAAATAAATAAATAAATAAATAAATAAAAACCCTAGCTGGGCATGGTGGTGCATTCCTATAATCGGGAAACTGAAGCAAGAGGATATCAGGTTCAAGGCCAGCCTCAACAATTTAGCATGACCCTGTATCAAAATAAAAATAAAAAGGACTGGGAATGTTGCTCAGTGGTAAAGGAGACCCAATCTTCAAGCTCCAGGATCAAATAGAAGAACGAAAGAAAACCAGTCTTGAATGCTTAGGGAATGCAAGATAGGATTTTAAAAGGTAGGCTCCAAAAAGAAATCAAAAGAGCACAAACAGGAATGTGATTAAGAGGGGTACCTGATTATTTTTAAGTCAGTGTCCCCATTGTTTATCATTAGGACTGAGAAAGTAGCTGGATGGGAGCCCTAACCCAGTGTGTGAGGCTCTGGGTTTAGTTCCCAGTACCAGAAGAAGAGAAAAGTAAATTGAGTCCCAAAGTATTCATCAGTCGGCTATGAGTGTTCATCTCTTTGTCACTTGAAAAGACCCTGGTCTAGAATTTTACATGGCTTCCAAAGGTAAGTGTCTTTGGAGAACTCAATGTGTTTGTGATAAAACAGAGACAAAGGAAAAGAGAAAGTCAAATGAAAGAGAGGAAAGACAGCTAAGAAATCTCAGAGAGCCAACATCTATATTTCTGAACACTTTCCAAAAATAAAATAATGAAGTTGAAAAAGTATCTATGAGTAGGAGAAAACAATTCTGTCACTATTAAGGTTTATTAAGGTTTGTTGAGGCTTCTTGTTTGTTTTGAGACAGTTTCACTGTGTTGCTCCAGCTGGTCTCCAACTCATGAACTTGAGTGATCCTCCTGTCTCATCCCCCCCAATAGCTGACACTACACCACGCCTGGCTGGGTTTTTTTCTTATGTTGGGGACAGTCCCAGGGACCTTATGCATGGATTTTTATGGATTTTTGTGTGTTTTTGAAAGGGTAAAGTTTCTAAGCTGGAAAGCTTGAATGTAAAAGATTAGGTATTATTAAGTTTCTCTGTTACACCCAGAACCTGAAATTCCTGAGATAGTTAAAACAACGCCCTACTGGCCAATTTAGCCTACAGGGCCCGAACCAATCAGTTTGAATGTGTAACCCGCTTAGGAATGACCAATCACCCCCGCCAGACCTGTTCCTGCCAATGAATGTGCCAATCACGTCTCAGAGTTGTTGTTCGATTTTCCCGCGCCTCATGATGATTTGTTCTGATGTATGCAAAGCCCACCGCCCTCTCCAGAAAGTGTACTTAAGCTCTGCTTGACCTTTGCTCTGGGCTCCAGGCTGCTCTCCCTTCTTGAGTGAGCACAGGGCCCCAGCACGCTGGAATGGATCCCCAATAAATCCCCTTTTGCCAATTGCATGGAGCCAGTCTCTTGTGTGGTCTCTTTCTCCGACGCTCCGCCGGACCCTTACATTTTATTCATACTGGAGATTGAACTCAGTGTCTAACACATGCTAAACAAGTGCTCTAGACTGAACTATGACCCCAGTTCTGTGCATGAAACCTGCTCCTTTCACCCCAACCTATCTGTGGTTCCAACAATTTGATGATTTTTTTTTTTGTACCAGAGATTGAACCCAGGACTGCCTAACCACTGAGCCACACGCCACATCCCCAACCCTTTTTATTTATGTATTTATTTGGATACTGTGGATTGAACTCAGGGGCACTCGATCACTGGGCCACATCCCCAGCCCTATTTTTGCATTTTATTTAGAGAAGGGTCTCACTGAGTTGCTTAGTGCCTTGTCATTACTGAGGCTGGCTTTGAATTTGTGATACAAGCCTCTGGGATTGTCATCACACTGGGCCAAGAAATAATAATTTTTGTGAGGCAATCTTACAGGCTTTCTGAAAATAGTAAATAATAAAAAGTAAGTAAGATAATGTTACCGCTGTTGACCGGTGACGAGTTCTTGCTCCCCGATGTTGAAGAATAACACCAAAGAAGCACGCCGAGGCAAGGCCGGAGTAGAGATTAGAAATTTATTAAAGGACAGAAGAAAAGACTTCTCCCGGAGGAAGAAGGGGACCCA